TAGCGGGAGGACGCAGCATGAACAACCCAGCTCACGGCACGCGATTTCAGCCAATCAAGTATAATCCACCTCGACATTAGGACGAAGTGCATCGCTGCCAACGATAACTGCCGCGAGCAAGGCGAGAACGGCCTTGAAAGGCTGGTCGTTGAGAACCACCTGTTGGTTACACAAAACCACAGGCCATCAGCGCGGGGTGACCTGCCTGCTCCCGCTCACCCGAGCCATCGCCCCGCGGCCAGCACCGCCACCAGCCGGCCAGCCTTCTCAGAAGTGGCGGGCCGCGTGGCGCCGCCGCCCGCACAGCGCGGCGCGCGCGCACTGACCCTGGTCGCCATGGCAACGCCTAGTAATGAGGCAGCCGGCCGGGCGGCGGCGGCAGTGGCGGCGGTGTTGCCGGCTGCGGCCGCCGTCGCCGCGAACGTAGGCACAGCCTCCGAAATCCTCGCCGCCGCGCCCGCCGCCCACGACGGGCCATTGCGGTTTGGCTACCGACGCTGCTCAACTCGGTCCCATCATCACGCCGCAGCATGCCTAAACGCGACTGGATGATAGGTCAGCTGGCGCAAAAGGCCACAAAAGTAATGAGATCTTAGAAAGAAAAACTGGAAATAGGGGCATGGAAATTCCATCTGCGAACGAGCCATCAGCAGGGATTGTAATGTATTTTCCAGAGTAATGTATCTAGACCCTGATCTAAACACCCTTCACATATGGTGCGGCCGTAGACAAAAAACCCGTGTCAAATCGCATACGTCGAAGTGTTGGGGCTGGGGCGGGGCGGAGGCAAGGGGTCAACCCAACATTAACGACATGGCTATCATTCTAGGGGTCACGGGCGCCATCGACCGCACATACTTCCTATGGAGAATGTCACAGCCACGGTATGAATCAAAACACAACGTACAAGTGAACAAGCGAGCACATGTAACTGGACCGGCACAACATTTTTGGTGCTAATGCGTAAACATAGCTTTTTCGACTCGCTTGGAGAATGGCTGATTTCAATGACTCGTTTGGAATTATTGTTTTCCAGGTACTTGCTCTCAATCCGGTAATAAATTCGCCAAATGCAGTCGTCGACAGAGACGCTATTGTTGGTGAGTACATTGCAATGCCATTGAAAATACGGCAGTACCTTGGGCTTGACGGCCAAGCGGTTACCCTTCAACGTCAAACCATCCGTATTATGGGACGTTTAGAACCAGTGGGTTAAGTTCGCAGCAAGTAAGACTGGTCTAGACAAACAAAAATGTGAATGAATGTGAAATGAATGTGAAACAGTCTATAACGTAGCACCCATGAGTCAAAATAGTACACGTGTAATATAGAACACCATGGACAGCACCCATTCTAAGATCCCATGGTCAAACGCATCAAACACTACATTCACGTGCGGTAAGTCGCAATTACCAAGTGCTTGAACCACAACACAGGTAGCCAAACCTCTCCAACATAACATACTGAGATTGGGAGTACCTCGGACCGTAGTGTCATGGCACTCTACTACACCAGGCAGGGCTAAGCCTTTCACCAACAGGCAAAACTACCCCCATTGTTCGTGACGTGGGGTGATGTAAGCGATGCCTAATTGATTCGAAGAACTACGCTGTGCTTGCACCTTTTGTCAGCAGCATTTTGCTGCGCACGTAAACAGGCGTATCTGGATACGGCAGTTGGAGGGCGGCCATTCGATCATGAGTCTCCGTTGCACTGATCTTCGTGGAATAGACTCTGTGGTCTTACTCTGCGCGCAACCACCAAATATTGCGCGCCGCCGCGAGAGCTGACTTTTTGTGCACGCACGTCTGCCAAACCTATTCGATTTTCGTCGCAAGGCGCTTCTAATACAGCGGGCATTCTGCGCTCAATACTGTGTACGGAATCTTCCCGTGCTGGGCGCGGGCGCGGATCGCTACGCGGTACGCGCGCTGGCTTTTCACGCCATGGTCAGACTCACCAAGCTTGAGTTATCCAGTGCCACGGACCTCTAAACAGGTGAGCAAATCATTACACCGTTGATGTCTTTCCGAAAGTCCAAAGCCATATTCGCGTCAAAGATCGGATCCTGCCCAATGGTGAAGGGCAGACAACGTCCCTGTGGCCTCATGGCCAAACCAGCGCTGCCGCTCAGCTTCAAGGTGGACCTGAACAAGCACGTGGGTAAATGATAGCGAGTGGTCACAGCAAGGACACGTTGTCGCTTGACCTCCAAACAGAAGAGCGTCGCGCGTTCGGGACGCTAGCCGAAGCGGAGGCGATAAAGACCGACTTTCTATCTTCTCTTGTTTCGTCGAGCGGAGACTCAGGACAAAACAATCGCAGACGCTTGTTGTCGATACTGCTCTCCCATTGGTTAGAACTTGTGTCCAGTGCGTCTGTTTAGGTGAGCGTCAGTTTATCGTGGTTCCTGTACGACCCGCATGTGACATTGATCCCCAAAGTTCTTGCGACCCTCCTCACTGTCCAAACGACGCGGCGCCAGTCCCGAATCTGAATGCATTACTGGATTCGTTCCACGAAGTCCCTCCACCCCGTCAACAGAGCAAGTCATTCATCATCCTTTTTAATGGCACATAAGTGCAATGTTCATCTAGCGTCGAAACTTCCCCGTCCAATTGGCGCGGGGACCATGAATCACTAAGATCGCTTATCACATACTACACAGCCATTTTCGCGCACGGTCGCGGGTGCAAACTCCGCTAGTTGTGTTGTGCTATCTGCAGTCATCCATCATGGACAGGACTACGGGTATGCACTGTTATTCCGACTCTGCAGTCGTCACCTCTGAAATGCACAAACCCCAAAAGAACGCACATTGAATGAGATAACAAACATTGATTTATAAAAGTCCATTCATCCAATGAGCTTCTCCCAACAGTCCACATGTTTTGCATGATTAGGTGATCGGCGTGATCTGAGGTGGGAAATGTGACGGCCCTCATGGTATCTCGCGATGACCGTCTCGCCGTCTTCGTCAAATGCCGTGATGAAAATAGGACATGGACATCAAATTTAGGTCACTTCATGGTTATTTGGATATTTGTAGGCAAAATCAGTTCCAAAACTCTAGCCTAGTCTTCAAAAAAATCTGTCAATTTTCTTCTCAGCAGGAGCAAAATCATCCACACCTTCTGAATGGAGGTCAGCTTAGTGTAGCAATACACCAGTGAGAATCTTGCTTCTCATCCTGCACCTGTTTGGGCTCACAAGACAGCTACCTCATCAAATTATAACTTGTCTTGTTGCAAATGTAACTACTCGGAGAACTTTTCATGGGACCCAATCCCTTTAAAGCTACAAAATTGTGCTTGAAGATTTGCTGTTGGCATAACAGTCATTATGAGCAGAAGCTGTTTTTCTCAAGTTGTCAATCCGGCAACACTAAACAGGTGTAAGACAAGGCTTGATGTGCACTGCATATGCCCAGATAAAACATAACTCATGACTGAGGCTGTATTACACATTGAAACTGGGTAGGATTCTGGTCTTTAGAATTCAGCATGTTATTGCTGGTCTTTAGAACTCTGCATGTAATAGAATGCTGGAGATCCATCCACAACCTGCATTACACATTTTGGTCATCCCCCCTCCCCAACACTACCACCACCACCACCTCTCAATCTGGTCATATCATGCTAGATAATATGGATAATGCAGTAAAAAGATTAGTCTGCTCAGCCCCTCCCTGAGCTAGAGGTACAAAATACTGATGTGTGTGTGTGTGTGTGCATGTGTGTTATTTGGCAAGAGAGGCAACAGACATAAGGTTTGAGCCATATGCAGCCATACATAGCTGAGCCATACATAGCATTGCCCTCCACTTGTTACACTTAAGTCATGCTTCATCAAAGCCCACTATTACTCCCTGTATGTCATATATGGAATCAATTGTCTCTGAGTATAAGGAATGGGACTAGTCAAAAACCCAGCACTGGATATATTGAGGACCTCCCAACTTTCATAAAGGTATATGCCTCCCAAACCTGAAAAAGAACTATAAATGATACGCACCAGTGCCGCAGACATCTCTGCAATGACTGCAGGAACTCATTCCTGTGATAACTGTGGCAATGATCCATGGAATGCAATCACACCTAGTCATAAAATCTTTAACTATAATGGTTGCTTACAGGTCAATAAATAGTAGCCAAAGCAAACTGGTTTGCATCTAAAAATTATTAGCTCCCTGCCTCCCAGAAGAGAGAAAAATATCATCTAGTTGAGTTGATCCCAAATCTATACAACTAACATGAAATAGTTTAGGTGTTTTTTTTTTGGCTGGAAATACTTTCAACATAGTTTTGCTCTGAGTATTTGAGAATTTTGTTACAAAAGTATATTCTCAGTTTAAAACAAATTTCACAAAGCCATAAGTAGCTATGCCAAACTTGTCACATTCATTGATGTCAAGGTAACATACTGGGTCAGCATTACAGAGATCCAGGTTTAAGCCCTGATGGTTCTTAAAAAGCAGCACCAACCAAGCCAAGCAGCACACACAATGATCATGATCCCTCCACTTACATATTGTCAACATTGCATAGTTTGATAGACCTATGTCCTGCACACTGATTTTCAGGCTTACTAGCATTCTGTATCCATATGATACCCACCCCCTTTTCTGCTACACCAGAAGCAACAGATACCACAACATTGATGTGGGTGCACATTCCTGTCAATATAACACACTAACAGGCATCTGTATCAAAAAAGGAATTGCATAGGTACACACCACTGACATCTGGTATGAAAACAGAGCACTAGGAAAGAAAAACAATAAAAATATAATTAACCTGCAGAATTATGCTCTCTTAGCAGTATAAGACAATACTAAGACCACCTGGTGTGACAGTCCATGGAGCCCAAGAACGCAAGCTTTTGTGTATATCATGCTTATAGGCATATCAACATACAAGTCGAGTGAATACCAGCTGCCACACCCACAGCCGCATTATCGTCCGACACACCGTCACACGCTGCTCTGCCCCGATTCTCACCTGAGTCAGGCAAGTGCCTACGTAGCTTGACAACAGTTGAGGCACAGATACAGGCTTCTATTTACTTGTGCACCGCGTCTCTCTTCGTTAAGTCAATGCGCACCTATCAACATCAGGTACGTGCCTCCAACAATCACTGATACCTAACGGCCTTGAGTGTGATTAAAAACGTGGTGAACGTGGGACTCTTCGGAGTTCAACACCGCGTCCAAGGGTAGTTTAAAGGGGGGGACTAAAAAGCGGCAAAACAACCTCACGTTCTTGTTCTCCAAAATCCCTCATCTGATTACCGTACAACCTTCACCAACTGATTTAATGTAGTTATTTGAGCATGATGTGACAGCATCGTGACATGACCTAGGGTTATACACCTTAAAAACTCGAACGAAATATTTAGCATGCAAAAACAGACAACGCGGTGGCAGAATCTACCGCTTTGATCACTGCAAAATCTTCACCGTGATGCGTCATATCTGATGCCCTCTTGGAGGCGTATATTGTAAGCAGGCGCGCAGCCAGTCTTAGAAAGGAAGCAGCACAGTGCGGACTGAGGGTCCCCTGATGACAAAGGTCCCCCCCCCCACACAAAAAAATGCCGGATATGGATATGGCCAGTTTGTTAATGGGGGCACGTTTTCATATCTTTCATTGTCACCTTCTATCACAGGTATAGAAGCCAGAAGGTACCGCGAGATCATTGCTGCCTGGTTTTTTAGTTATTGAACTGAATAAATCATGCGCTTATCGACTACGTAAAATAAATCACCGGCGCCGTTAATTTGACAATGGTACAGAGGGCTCTTGCTAGGCCAATGGAACTCAGAAGTGTTGTCAGAATCTTTGTGTGGGCCGTACAGAGATATAAGAACCCCACGAAAGTAGACAGAAATAGGTCAACAAGTTGTATTAACATGGCCATGCCGCGTTTGTCTGAAAATGTTCGACATTTAGTGAGGATTAACTAGTGATACAAATAATGTGATATAGTTTTGGGTACATACGCTCACAAATCTTAGCAACAAAAACCGCTTTGCCGGGTGTTGCAGTCTCCAAAGGCCACGCATCGCCAGCACCGCGGCTGATACCGAACAATGGCCAACGGGTGGACGAAAATGATGATGCATTTGAAAAAAGTACCCCTGAACGTTCAAAATCACCAAATGCACATTTAGAAGGTTGTCTGGTGGTTTATTTCACCCTGTTCGATTTTTAGGCTAGTGATAAGAATGGATCGGCCCTAGGAGCACCGTGAAATTGTGCTGGAATGTGGTGATGGAAGTGGAAGAATAGCTGAGTAAAGGTGGAATATCTATCCTTCGTGTTGCTGTAACTGTTAATCTGTCCACAGGAGAACCTCAAAGTTGCAAAAAGATGTCCCCAGTCTCATCTTTGAACGGTACGAATAAATCTTGAAAGACATTCGGAACCATTATGTTAAGACGATCGTTGTCGCGCGTACGGCGCCCGCCGCTCGGCGTTACTTGCAGCGGCCATTCGGTTTTATGGAAACCGCAACACAGGCCATCGCTGTCCTTGCTCCCGAGCTGGCAGGTGCGCAGGCTCAAACCTCTTAATGTAACGAGATGGCCTTGTTCGTTTTTAACCCATTCCGACCCACTCTGTCCAACGCTAATGGGAACCCTAGTTTATTTGCGGGCAAGGGGCTCCGTGGGAGGAACACTAGGGACATATTATTATTCCCGGTCAGGGGCTGAACGGCAGTTCCGTTCCATCGCGTATTGCAGTGCGTAGCGTGCCATGCGTGTAGAGCAGCGCATGCATTCCATTACAGCAGCCATATTATTATTCCGTTCCATCGCGTTTCTTCCAGCTGCCATTCTGACGACATGGGATGAAATGTCCTGGTCGATCCAGCGGCCCTTAAAGGGATATACCATATCACATTCGTCCCTTCTCTAGGACAGAAACCCTTATATCACGAATGTGGGGATTGGCGCATGCAATTTCTGATTCCCAGTCCCGTGAGCGTTGTACTAAACTGCGCCTTGTTTTCCGGAAGGACAGAGAAATTGACAGATACCCGGAACACCAAGTGATGTCTACCGCTTGTGCTGCACGCTCTAGATTTTAACGCTAAATTAGGTTTGCGAAAAGGCCGTAAAATGTAATACAAAATTATGTGTGTTGTAACTCTCGTTTACAAATGACGAACCATGCGACTAGGTGACTGCCTCCATACCATCGAGCAATTTACACAGCCTCAGGGTGGTGTGGACCAGTAGTCTTGTTGTTAAGTCAATGCTAGTTCGATCACCCTCAAGACACCAGCATATCCACCTGGCAGTAGAATTTGCCACACGTGTGTCAATGGGCTGAAAGTCAAAGGCACATGGAAGAACCTCGCATGTATGACCTCTTGTAACCAGGCTTGTGTTCGACTCGAGCTGAATCGTGAACTGTCCCACGAGCCAGTCGCCTTTGGGGTGAGTCGCGAACTGAGTCGGCTCTTTGGGAAAATGCCCTTTTGAGCCATGAGTTGAATCACATTCTTCGTCAACTCCATGGCCTGACTCATAAATTAATCGCTTTTATCAATCTAACAGTGAGTAATGTGGTTTGGATTGCAATGGAAATATGGAGAAACACAGCACGGCCCAAGCAAATTAAGAAAGCATTTAAGTGGGTTTAAATGGACGGCATACATCAATTTTATGGAGTGCTTTGCAAAACCAGCTCAATGTTTGTTATGGCAATTTCTAAGCAGCAAACACAGTATTGTTGATCTTGATCTAAAGTTTGCCTATTGCCAGCGGGAAGCCAGAGGATATTACATGGTATAGTCATCCTGCACTCCCATATCCTATGCTAAAATCAGTGAGAGGCTATCTTCTACCTATAGAATCCAACGGCTGGCCATACTTTTCCTTGTGAATCGTCACACCAATGAAGCAATCCACACTTGACCAATCATTCACTACTTGAACTGCTGTAAGCATGCTGTCGCTAAGACTTTATGAAATAAATATCAGGTCCGCATTGCACGCTGAACAACTAATGGATCTGGGTCGTGGGTACACGGGAGAATGTTCTAGCCTACATCTTAGACTTGCAAGAGCTGGTTGGTAGCAGATCACATGAATAACATTGCTGCACGGCATTTGCTAGGTTCAAACAACAAACTTCCTACCAGGCTATTTGTACATATTTGCCATCCTATGCTACACACACACACACACACACACACACACACACACACACACACACACACACACACATATATATATATATATATATATATATATATATATATATATATATATATATATATATATAATGAGTCGTATGCCGCAAAGATCATAAGGTAACGAGCCAGAACTGAATCGGATCCTTAATTTTGCAAGCCGCATGGGACATGAGTCAAATGATGCAACGCAAGCGATGAGTCTGAACTGGGCTGAATCAAAATATTCGGAACAGCTATGAGTCATGAGCTGAATCAGATCCTAAAGCATGTGAGCCAGCCCTGAGCCGGCTCAAAAAAAATTTAGTCGGAGACAAGGCTGCTTGTGACCTTTGTCTTCGGGTATTTCACGCAGGTGGAACAAATCGTGGCATTTGTCACCGTTTTAATGAATTTCTTGAAGACGCACGTTTAAGGAGAGCCTGCATGCCCTCAGGGGAACACGTGGTAGCCTGACAGCTACAACGGAGCATGGTGCTACAAAGACTAAGTTTTTAGTAATATTTTAGCAGCAGAAGACAACGCAGATCCATCAAACAGAATTGCTGAAATCCGCACTCTCCGTCTGAGGCTGATCTAAAAAAATGTGTATTGTTGCTGGGTTCGAGCAAAATGGTTTGAGCAGTTATGTCCCGTAGGTTCATATATTCTCCGGTCATCGTCACGGGTAACAGCACATCGTCACGTCACGAGTAAAGTAATGACGCCCGCTGACAACCTTTGTCAGCCCTTATGCTCGGTACGGGCGATCGAAACCTTTCAGCTCGGCTGTCTGCGTTTCGTGCAGCTCTCAGTAGAGTATCGTGCGTCGGGTGTCATGAAAGGGTTCTTTGTTTGATTTAAAGATCTTTCGGCCAGAAATGATTATTTCGGAGCTGTGCGGTGAAAGACAATGGATAGAAGCGGGGCAAGACTACAAGGGCCTGGGCTCCCAGCCGCCGAACTTTATCCGTGCATGAGCGCTGGACACCCGGTCAGGGCGCCCCTCCCCAGCGGGCCTCGCGGCCCACTCGTGGCTGACTCGCATGCAGCCTGTCCCGTACAAGCGGGGCGTGACGGGGATGAAGGATGAAGCGAGGCAGAGGATAAGAGGGTCGAATGATGTCATGATATGACCACCCGAATGGCTGGAATGTTTTTGGTGACCATGCCATGCCCGTGATTTTGATCTGCGTAGTTACAATCCGCCGCCTACGACGGCTATTGAACAACAAACAAGGCAAAGCAGATCTCCCCCCCCCCCCCCACACCCTTCCCCAAATCCGCCACCCTCCTCAGGCAAAGCAACAAACAAACAAACAAACAAGGTAAAGCAGATCTCCCCCCCCCCCTTCCCCAAAGCCGCCACCCTCCTCATGCCTGTTATATTGGGACCCACCTCTAGGACCATGGTACGGAGTGCCCGACGGGTGGGTCACAACCCTGGACGTCGCCTGGCGGCCGCAACGTTGCAACACAGTCCAGGCCACCCCTGGCGGCCACGCCGGCCACGGCTCTTGCTGCTCCCTGGCGGCGGCGCTCCCAGATGGCGCCCCGGGCTGACGGCGGCGTCACGGCACCGCGGCCCTCACGCGTCAGAACTTTTTGGCGCTAACGTGGCCGTCGTGACCACTTGGTATACCTTTTTGGGTTTTGCTGTGCTCGTAATGCAAATTTTGTGAAGAATCGATTGCTGTTGACGGTAACGACTCTCAAGCCGGGAGGGGCGTGGAGAGGTCGCCAAAATTTTGTCAAACTTGAGAGCTATGTTTATTCGGACGTTCGTTGCATGGAAATAAGCTAAAAATGAAAGCAACTCCTCCTCTCCTCCACTTATTTGTAAACAAATATGGAACCAGCAATGACAGAATCTCATGAAATATTTTCGGATATTGCCTTGCTTGGAGTTGTTGAAGGATGCCTGGAACTATACCTAACAGCAGATAAAGATCATGCCCGTGGGATTAAATAGTGCGTGCTGCTAGTGGGTCTAAA